TTCCTCAGGGGCTCACAACTTGTGATGACGGGAATGGTGAACCCAAGTTACTCTACCCGGATATCCACCAAACTTCAACTTGTCTTGGGTGATATCCTATTCTCTCTTCTTTTTTCAATCTATCCTTTCGACCTTCCTTGGCCAACTTCTCTTTTCCTCTTCCCCTACAAGCCCAACCTCACCATCAAGTGGGGCCATCTTTGCTATCTCCGGGCCTGATGGTACAATTCATGCACATCTATGGTAAAGATGGGGCGATTTGCTGATATCTGTCTAGGTGGCCAAGGACTGGTCAACAAGGTTCTGGCAACCTAATCCAAAAGGTGGGAACCCGTGGCGATAGATGAATGGCACCGAGTTATGCTGTAGGTGTCTCCAGTTGGCCACTGGGAAACAGGGCGACATCTCTGAGTAAACAGCCGTAGCCATTTGGAGGGGGCGCCACAGGGCTGGACCAACACCTTCCCCCGTCTCTCGTAGGAGAAGGAAAACTTTTGGCCTTCTTCGTAGACGAGAACAGAGATCGGAAGAGTAATCTTCAGGAACCTGAACGAAAAGGGTCTTTCATATTGAAGCTGCCCTTAATGAGCACCATGAATCGTATATGGTAAAATTGGCAACATGTATGCAAGTATGTTCCATACAATGAGCCACTAGGTCTAAGTGTCGTCGGAGACATCGGTCAGATGAGCCTACAAGCGGGGTGGAGTGTTAAGTGAGTATACCCTGGAATCAGGGGTCTCCCACATTATCAAATGAGAGATTAGACCCATATGATGTCCATAAAGAATTTCAACCACTTCGACAAAAAAAAAACCTTCTAGGTTCACCTCGGAGATCGCTCATTGGAAGCAGCATAGCTTTAGGAGATGGGACTAATTATGGAACAACCACCATCTTGGTTAACACCAGCCAACTCCGGACTGCGTGGAGGATCGTTTTGTTTATACATCTTTTTAATTGTGATTGTTCTATTCGATATTGTCCATATAACCAGAGAAATAGTGAATAACTGAATATGAAGTCAGGTTTAAAAAAATTGAATCATAAGAGAGAGGTTATCATCTTCACAGGAGCCATTTTTTTTATATTGTTCCTTCCCCTTCAATGTACCAGGATTATTCTCAGAATATTTAAAACAGTGCATTTCGAATGTTCATGGAACGTCCCAGGAATATGTGTATCATATTGTGAGAATATTCGGGGAATATTCTAATATCTGGGTACACTATATTCACTCACGATAGATATTTGCATTGAATTGAATTATTGACATAAAATATGTATATTCGAATTTGATGAAAGTTCAATGTTTATGGATAAATGCGTTTTGTAATGAATAACTTAATGCGTTAATGAACTCTTTGTGTCAATAACAGTGCCACAGTAGGTACTTTTATTATTTTTCTGCCTACGATATATTTCACAACTAACGATATTCGTATAGTGGCTCACTTCACCTGGAAAATTAGAATGAAATTGACTATAACTGTAGTTCTTAACTGTAATGTACATTTACTTATTATTGTAAAGCCAACTCTGAAATTTAATTACTGTGAGAATTTAAAAAAAATGCAATACAAGGATGTCGCATACAGGGACGGGACAATAAAAAACCTGCGGATACCTTTTCAATCAATTGCTATGTTTTGATACCTATATTTTACATTTGGAGAATACATTTTATTATATCAATCTTTGTATTAACTGTACTGTCACTGGCAGAGCTCTGTGAAGAATTTCATACAGTTTGTCCTTAGGTAATTGAAATATTTTGAGCTTCGACTTTTGTCCTGAGCAAGCTTGCATTTTCATCTCCTATTTATAGCTGTCAATTTGCCCCGATATCAATAAACAAACTGGATTTTTTCAATCCTGGATCTCTTAGCTGTGAGATTGAGTAAAAAAATATTATTGTGTAATTTGGTATCCTGTTTGAGCAGGACTTCAATATACATATAGGGTAGTACTGGGAATCCATCTTAATAATAAATTGAATAAATAATTCATCGTATATATTCGATATACCTAAATCCGAATATCCAAATACCCTAATATTCGAATATTAGATTATTCTTATATCCGAATGACCTGATATCCAAATAACCAAATATCCAAATATCCAAATATCCAAATATCCAAATATCCAAATATCCAAATATCCAAATATCCAAATATCCAAATATCCAAATATCCAAATATCCAAATATCCAAATATCCAAATATCCAAATATCCAAATATCCAAATATCCAAATATCCAAATATCCAAATATCCAAATATCCAAATATCCAAATATCCAAATATCCAAATATCCAAATATCCAAACATCCAAACATCCAAACATCCAAACATCCAAACATCCAAACATCCAAACATCCAAACATCCAAATATCCAAACATCCAAATATCCAAATATCCAAATATCCAAATATCCAAATATCCAAATATCCAAATATCCAAATATCCAAATATCCAAATATCCAAATATCCAAATAACCAAATATCCAAATATCCAAATATCCAAACATCCAAATATTCAAACATCCAAACATCCAAATACCTAATATTCGACTACAGCTGCACCATTTCCGATTATTGTTATTCAGAAAATATAATATTATGTATTTCACGAAATTTTGATTATAATTCAGAAAAGCCAATTATTGTATCTCCGAAAGTAATATCGATCCCGAAACGATCGAGAAAATTTGGAATATCAGCATGCTGATTTTGTCCGGTTAAATAATATTCGTTTTCTATCATTGAATCGACCATATTTAACTCAAATTCTGAAATTAAGGCTTTATTGTCTAGTAATGATTTGAAAATATTCATTGGAGTTTGAACGAAATTTGCACCAAATCCAAACGAATTTTAGGTATATTTTTATGCACTACCGGGCGTGAAGTAACACTTTACAGCCCGGTTTTGCGGGCGTAAAATGGCACATCAACGCACGCGAACTACTTTATCGCCCGGCATTCCTGTACAATAGTACAATTCAGGACGTTTGTGTTTCAGTTGTGATGGTTCCTTATCTAATATTACAGTTCCTTGATAATTTGTGAAATCAAATATAGCGGTGTTCTTATAACCATCGCTGTCGCTCGGGTTCTTACTCTTACATAAAAGCCTATTTTACGTCCTTGATACATAAATAACTATTATGCTCGACGATAGTACGTTTATCTTATGTAACCTATCGTTATTTTTTTGATAGAACATGGAATGTTTCCATATAATATGCGAAATTTTCAGCCATCGGCTTTTTATACTAAATAATAATATATCAACGAATTTTCAACTGTATCAATATACAGAGCATTCCAAACAAATGAATTAGTGAAAGGTTTTCAAGGTTAAAATAATGAATTAAGGATTTTTAACACACAAATATTTGTACGGAAGAATAGGAACGATTTAAATGAGTGTTTTTTCCTGAGAAAATAATCAGATAAACATTGAGATATGTGTGATCGATTATCAAATAGCGAGTCAAGTAGGTAAATAATTGATAAACGTTGATTTGAATTAGGCAAGTTTATAGATAGTTATTATTTGTGCAACTAGTGCAAAAACAGTTTGTTGCGAGATATCAGCATTTTTTCTACGATCGAATTCATGAATTCATCTTTATTCAAAATTTCCATGAACAGTATTTTCAATACAAGAAATATAATCTACTAATTCTTGAAATAGTTCTACAACAACATGAACAGTTTGAAGTACAACGTTATTTTTATGAATTTCTTTTTTAATATCCACTTTAATATCGCAGCTAGGCAAGTAACTTACTCTACACGATCATAGTTTCTTCAACCTCCCTCTTGTGGGAGCCTGATCCCTCCCAATAAATGAGACACTTGGCGTATCGTATTCGGTGATATAAAAGATTGATTATAAGTATCTCTTTGGAATGCTTTGCCATGTGGAATAGCAAGAAACAAGTCGAAATCGAAACCAGATCTACGACTTCATTGATCATGAATCAGAAATAAATACCTAGTATGAAGGTGAATTTAAACTAATCGAGTATAATAGTGTTATTATACTAATAATATGCATATTCTATTTTCGACAGATTTGAAGTCAAATTCAGCATATTGATATTGTAGGCATACAGGGTGTCGCGAAATTCCCTCAACCATCGATAACTCGGTTATGTTTCAGAAGATAATAATACGAAGAAATTACCTACTATTTTGAATAATAATAAGCCTTTCTCATTAAAAAGGGAAACAAAAGCATTACCAAGAACAGGCCTATTGTCGTTTTCAGTCATCTCCAAAGTGATGGAGAAAGCCATCAACATTGAGCTCCTCAAATATCTGTAAAGTTCAGGAATCATTATGATGGACACTATCGCTTTCGTCAACGTTGATCAACTGGAAACTGGAGATTTACTTGCCTACGTCACCCATATATTATGGCAAGCAAGGTGGATAGAATATGGTGTGATTACAGACAGTGTTTTGTTTCTCCCAAAACGCTTGACCGCAGATTCCGTAATAATGGCATATTAGTTTTCAGTTGTCCGCAAGATGGCGACACTTTTTTTACAGATTTCTTTTATGACAGAAAACAGAAAACGGCGCTAACACACCGCTTGCACCTGGAATAATAATATCATAACATTCATAACATAACCTCAAATCAAAAGTTAGTACATTTGAAGGTACGAAACTTTAATTTTAGAGAATTTTAATTATCTACAGGTCTACCAACCTTGAATTTTGGCTGAGATTTCGCCATCTAACGGGTAAAATGCGACCTATATATATTCTTCTGTCAAGTAGGCCGTAGGTCAAGAACATTGACCGAAAAACAGTAGATGTGATTTGATTGGAGTTTCTACACCATCTTCTGTTCATCATGATGGCAAGTTTTATTAGAAAAACATGGGGAATCTCTAGCTGTGGCGTTGGATATATCAAAGGCATTCGACCGTGTTTGGCACCAAGGACTCCATCAAAAACTACCATCCATCACACGGCTTACCACCTCAACTAAGCCATCTTTTATCGAGTTTTCTTTCAGGCAGTTCGCTCCTTGTGGTGGTAGACGATATCGTCTGATACTTAAGTCTGATACCATTTGCCATCAAGTCCGGCGTTCCAGAAGGATCAATTTTGGCAGGTATTCAGCAATGAAAAATTTTAATCCAGCGATCCATCGCGAAAGCTGCTTCACAGAAACTCAGATTTCTATTCCATGCGAACTCAACATCAGCATCTCATGGTCTACAAAGCACAGATACGGCCTATTCTGGAATACTGTTCTCACATAAAGGGTTCAGCACCCAAACAGACGCTGATGCTCTTATAGATTCCATCCAAAGAAGAGCCATTAGTTTGGTGGGTGATGCCATACTCACTAATTTTTTGACCTCATTAGAACACCGCAGAAAACAAAGAAATCTCTGATGCTATCATTCCATAACTAGCAATACCAGTCAGACGAGCTCTACAGGCTCAGTCAGCACATCCTTTCGTTGTCAACCATGGAATATGTCGAATAACACTTCACCAGAACTCGTTCGTCCATAGAACGGCAAAGCTTTGAAATTATTTGCCAATGAAAGTATTCCCAAGACCTAATTGTTGAATATGTAGTATTTTCAATGTGTATTTATATACATACATGTTCACCCTTTATTCATATTATATGATTTGTTTTAAAAAAGAATTGAATTTGTTGATTGTCAATTTTCAATCAGTAATTGTCAAATTTATAAATTATTACAAATCTATTTCCAGGTTAAACTGCTGGTTAAACTAAAATCCTTACTCAAATAACAACAGGTTATGGGCCCAGATAGCTCAGTATAAAAGTAACGAGAAAAAGTTGTAAGAATGGCGGTATCACTAATGCAAGTAGAAAAATTAGGCAAACACAACTACGATACGTGGAAATTGCAAATGGAAGCAATTTTGATCAAAAACGACCATTGGTCTCATGTGAATGGTGGAGCAATCAAACCAAACGATGCTGAAGCAGCAGAAACATGGAATGAAATTGATCAGGAAGCTAGAGTAGACATACGTATATGAATCCCAAGGACCAGTCAGAAAAGCAACTCTAACAAAGCAAATTCTTTTCACGAAAATGACAGAAGATATGACAGCAGATATTTTCACGAAGGCGCTCTCGAAACAAAAATTCAAGAAACACTCAAGAGAATTGGGTCTCCGAGAAGTTAACTCTTATTGAGAGGGAGTGTTGAATATGTATTCTTTTCAATGTGTCTTTATATATACATGTTCACTCTGTATTCATATTCTATGTTTTGTTTAAAACAAGAAATGAATTTGTTGATTGTTAATTTTTAATCAGTAATTGTGATATTTATAAATTATTACAAATCTATTTCCTCATTAAAATGCGTTTTCCTAACTCAAATTACAACACTTATAGCCTCCAAAATTTTAAAAAGAAAATTCCAACACCTACCTCTTCCCCCTCACATATACCTACTGTGCGCAGCGAGGCATTGGACCGCAAAAGACAGAAGATTTTTGGGCAACCAGTCGGCGAACCAGATGTATTTAACCATTTTAACTCACATCCAGTGAAAGATTTGTACAAACTTGTTCAAGGTACAGAGACAATGGAGTGGGCACAATAAAGACTACTAGGTAAGATACAATGGGCCACTAGGCCTAAGTGTCGTCGGAGACATCGGTCAGAGACGAGCCTAGTGGGGTGGAGTGTTGTTCCCATATACGTATTAATAATCAATACGGGTAATCTCTATCTGTTTCCATAGCGGAACATGAAGCCAATTTTTGAAGACAAATGACTATCCATAAGGAAAAGTGAGATACTGCGCATGATCAAATACGCAGAATGTCATGACCTTTTGAAACGATCAGTCACATACTGCTTTCATTGAAAGGCTAGTAAACGTCATTGTCCACCGAAACGCATGTCTTTGATGACTACTATAATAGCGCATGGCGCATGCGTATCATGCCACCAAATCCTTATGGATATTCATTTGTTTCATATTTTTGGCTTCATCCTGGCACCCGTTATGATCCGTATTGTTTATTAATACGTATATGGTTGTTCCTGGGTATGATTTTTTCGTAATAGATTTTCTTGGAAAAAAGTTACAGATTTGTATCAAAAGGTAATAGATCCGGAAAATCTGACATTTGACATTCTGTGTGTCATTCTTGTCAAACCATATCGCACAAATTAGACAGTTTTGACAGAAATGAGGCAGAAGTCACATAGAACTTATGACATGAATATAGAACATAGAACCATAGAGCAGAACACGGCAGAACATAATTATGCGCTGAACACAGAAATCGATTTTTTAGTAACAAAACATCATATATCGGTGCAAATGCGGTAATAGATTCATGTCAAATCGTAATATCGTAACAATCTCCGTGGAATACTAATAGATCTATTACAAAAGAAATTACAAGAACAACACGGTGGAGTGTTTAGTGGGTGGGTATACCCTGGCTAGTGTCAGGGGACTCCCACACTATCATATGGGGGATCAGACCCATAAAGGATTTCATGATTTCAACCACCTCGACAAAAAAAACCTCCTTCGTTGGTACGCACGATCTTCTTCGAACATTGGGTAGAGGAATTTCCTATCGTGCCCTCCAAAAGATTTAAAAAATTATATCCTTGAAACCTTATTCCTTTTTACAACCCACAAGATATCACCCAAACTATTTCAAATGTTCTTCCCGTAGAAAAAACATTCACAAATATTTGCATGGGTAATGTAGAATTTGACAAGTCATGACGGTAAAAACACCTCTTTACATAATTTGCAATCATCACATTTGAGAAGTTCAAAATAAACCGTCACCGTTATACAACTTTTTTCCCCACCTATACGGTATTGCTATAGTGGTGGAAAAAATGTCGATTCTTGAATGGAACATATCTTGTACATCATTATCATTTTGGAATCTATGCATAGTTATCCGAATATAATCACACTAGAAAATTTAAATTTTATCCCGAACAAAGTCAGTGGAATTTGATACTCACTAATCAATATATATAAAATCAGTTGAAATTTGTGAAGATGTATGTTTCATTCACAAAAAAAAATGATATAATATGCATGATAATATTATTATGATCGAAATGAAGATTGAATTTTCATGAAATAAATCAAAGGGTGAAATTCAACAAAATTAAAGTTGAGAGGGATATTTTGAGGGTTGTATAGAAACCAATGAAGTTTCAAGGATGCAATATAAATCACTTCTGAAATAGTTATTGATTTCTTCTTTTAAATTAACTATAGCGATATCGCTTGTTAAGGAAATTGTGGTACTCCCTGAATATACGTACATTTTTTCAAAAGATGCACTCAGACATACGCAACCTATGCATTTTGAGTACGAGGACATCTATCATCATTCGATGGTATCAATACGAAAAATTGTGTCGTAACAACATTGGAAACCTTTATTCCTCACACATCGTTGAACGGAAAAATTTGACTAGCATAAATTAATAAATTAAACCATACCGTATAATTTTGCAACAAATCATCGGCCGAAGATAAGACTATATAATTTTATGATTTGTATAAAATTAGACTTGACAAAATACGGGGCACACGGGCACACTAAATTAGAAACTAGTTTCTAATTTCGATTTGTGAATCCGTTGTAAAAATTACCAAGGCCAACAAAAGTGAAACTACAGTCCTCTGAAAGGTGTTGTGATATCGAAAAAAATCCATTAAAATTGGGATATTTACCTTCTCACTGAAAACTGAATTCACCATCTCACGCGATTGAATAAACTTCCAATAGTCTTGTTTGAAACAGTGTCTCTGTTGTCTTTTTTTTGTCAACTGATTTTGTTATCTATCGAAAAAGTAGCAAGTAAAAGCAGATATCAACAATACTTTCACACTAGAGATAAGTGTCACGCTGTATAGGTAGGTCGTATGTCTTTATCTGTAGTTCATCTTTCAACAAAGAAACACTATACTGTTTCATGTGGTATCCATAGACTTCTAGTCGAGAAAACAGCAATAAAATGAAACCTGTTTATGCAGTTTGATGTGAGAATTACCAAAACTACCTATTTTGAGATATTGCGATAATTTGATCTTGGAATTAAAATTCTTGTGATGTTTGTCAGTCAAATAAAAAATTAATCTATATCTTATCGACCTTCACCAATGCTTTTCGTTCCTCTGCTAAATTGTAGTCGTAAGTTAATAACATTCAAGATGACACATCAAGCGAAAAGGGTGCACACGGAATTATCTGGAAAAGCAAGAGCACCAGTTGGGTACACTTCAATTTCAAGAAATATTTGATTAACAAGTCAAAGCCCTGAGGGGGCAGAAGGACGATCTAGCCTTCATAGCCATCTAGTGGCTTAAGTGCAAGGTGTATAGGTAGATTCATCAATCATACCTTGCGACTAAGTCGTGCTTATAGACCCCTACGTCTATATGCTTACAGAAAAGACATCCATGTCAGATTCTGTAGACTATCGCAACACCTGTTATTCTCTCAAAGTGGTTTAATGTTCCACTAACAGATGGTGATAAACCTAGAATCTCAAGACTAAGAGATTCTAAGGAAATTTCGTGAATCGATTGTCAGCTGATGCAAGACAGACTGTTTCGACTTGCCAAGTCTCATCAGTTGCACTGGCCAGCTGACAATCGATTCACGAAGGGTACCTCCATATATCAAACAAGTCAAAGCCCTGAGGGGGCAGAAGGACGATCTAGCCTTCATAGCCATCTAGTGGCTTAAGTGCAAGGTGTATAGGTAGATTCATCAATCATACCTTGCGACTAAGTCGTGCTTATAGACCCCTACGTCTATATGCTTACAGAAAAGACATCCATGTCAGATTCTGTAGACTATCGCAACACCTGTTATTCTCTCAAAGTGGTTTAATGTTCCACTAACAGATGGTGATAAACCTAGAATCTCAAGACTAAGAGATTCTAAGGAAATTTCGTGAATCGATTGTCAGCTGATGCAAGACAGACTGTTTCGACTTGCCAAGTCTCATCAGTTGCACTGGCCAGCTGACAATCGATTCACGAAGGGTACCTCCATATATCAAACAAGTCA